TTGGAGAGATGGCAGTGAGGTTTTTGACTCAAATATTCAATGGCAAATTTGAGGATGAGAAAATGCCTGAGGAATGGAGAAGAAGTGTGCTGGTGCCCATTTTTAAGAACAAGGGTGATGTACAGAGGTGGAGCAACTACAGAGGAATTAAGTTGATGAGCCAAACAATGAAGATCTGAGAGAGAGTTGTGGAAACAAGACTTCGACAAGAGGTGACTATCTGTGAGCAGCAATATGGTTTCATGCCAAGAAAGAGCACCACAGACGCCATCTTTGCTTTGAGAATGATGATGGAGAAGTACAGAGAGGGTCAGAAAGAACTCCATTGTGTGTTTTTGGATTTAGAAAAAGCATATGACAGAGTGCCAAGGGAGGAGGTTTGGTATTGCACGAGAAAATCGGGAGTGGCAGAAAAGTATGTTAGACTAGTACAGGACATGTATGAGGACAGCAGGACAGTGGTGAGATTTGCTGTAGGAGTGACAGATAGTGTCAAGGTGGAGGTGGGATTGCATCAAGGATCAGTTTGATCATCAAGGATCAGGATCAGCTCTGAGCCCCTTCTTATTTGCTCTGGTGATGGACCGACTAACAGATGAGGTCAGGCTGGAATCCCCATGGACTATGATGTTTGCAGATGACATTGTGATCTGTGGTGAGAACAAGGAAAAGGTGGAAGAGAACTTGGAGAGGTGGAGGTATGCACTTGAAAGAAGGGGAATGAAAGTCAGCCGTAGTAAGACAGAGTATATGTGTGTGAAGAGAGGGAGGCTGGTGAAATAGTGAGGCTACAAGAAGCAGAGGTCAAAAAGGTGCAGGACTTCAAGTACTTGGGGTCCACTATCCAGGAAAATGGGGAATGTGGTAAAGAAGTGAAAAAGAGAGTCCTGGCAGGATGGAGTGGATGGAGAAAAGTTTCAGGAGTGATTTGTGACAAAAGGGTGTCAGTAAAGGTCAAAGGAAAAGTTTACAAGACAGTGGTGAGACCAGCTATGTTGTATTGTCTGGAGACAGTGGCATTGACAAAAAGACAGGAGAAAGAGCTGGAAGTAGAAATGAAGATGTTGAGGTTCTCCTTAGGAGTGACCAGGATGGATAAGATTAGGAATGAGATCATCAGAGGTACAGCACAGGTTGAACAACTGAGAGATAAAGTTAGAAAGACCAGACTGAGATTGTCTGGACATGTCAAGAGGAGGGACAGTGGGTATATTGGTAGAAGGATGTTAGAAATGCAGCTGCCAGGAAAAAGACAAAGAGGAGATATATGGATGCAGTTAGAGAGGACATGGAGGTAGTTGGAGAGGGAAAAGCCAAAAGAAGAAGAAGAAGACTTACACAAGACCAAGAGGTGCATCATCCTTCAGTTGATCATGTGAGAAGTCCAGCTAAAAGTGCTTAGAAAATTTTGTTGGTGTCAAAACACTATTTTATTTGTCCATTTGAGTAAATTTCATTGATTCAGTTAAATAAATGGGACAAAGTGTGTCGTAATGACCAAAGAAATCAGTTTAAAGTTTCATTAGATGATAAACCAAATCAACATTGATACTTGATTATTTCTTTGCTATTTGCTGACACCATAGTTCATTCTTTAGAGTTAGGTGTTCTTTTGTGCTCGAATGATTTGCAGCTCAAAGTTATCTGAAACTGATCGGGTAAACTGGATAGAAAATGAGTCACAAAGCAGTAAACCCCTTAAAAAACGGAAACTACAAAATATTAGAAAGTATGGTTCCATGAAGGAAAACGTAATATTCTTTGAAGGAATAAAGGGATTACTCTGAGTTACTACCACACCAAATTTAGCTGAATATTTGTAAATTTGACTTTTAGTCATTTTATGTTGGCTGAGATCAGAATCAGAATTAACTTTATTGCCATTGCACAGTTAAGCACAGGGGAAATACATTCGAGTACAGCCGTCTAACAAGGGTAGATGCAAATGGAGGCTGCAGCTTCAGTGAAGCGCTGTCCTTATCACTTAGATAAGAAAATGGAATAAAAACATGAAGAAAGAGAACAACAAAGTCCATGCTCAATAATCCAAGTATACAATCTAACATTTTTCAGTCAGGTCATCTGGACAGTTTTTTTTTTTTTTTGTGCTGAAATGTTTCGCCTTCGGTCCGGAAGGCTTCGTCAGTCAAGGAAACACAACAAAACTGATTCTTCCCTCAACAGCTTACTCCAAAGTGGAACAAATCAGTTCTGCTTGTGATAAGATGGTCTCTTTGGTACGCCCCCTCCTCCATTGCCGGCCCTCTTCCTTGTTGAGATTCTAGTCAAACTGGTTGAAAACAACAAAGTTCATGCTCAGTAATCCAGGTATACAATTCAACATTTTTTTCAGTCAGGTCATCTGGACAGTTTCTTTTTTTTGTGCTGAAACGTTTCGCCTTCGGTCCAGAAGAAAGAGGTTATTAAAAAAGATCTCTCACACTGTGTCCTTGACACAGGACACAGTGTAAGGTAGCAAAAAAACTACCTCAGCACAAGCAACATAGAGAGACATTAGACATTTTGAGGAAGCTGACAAAGGTGGTGAGATTGTCCATGAACACAACCAGAAAGTTACATAGTCCTGATAAAGATGGCACAGTGTCTATCAGCCGGTGCAGCTCTGATAAAGGTCCACAGATGTTCTCAGGGGGTGGGGGTGGGGGTGGGGGGCAGAGCACATCTTTATATCCTCCAGGAGCAATTTGAGATAAGTTGGCCTATCCAAGGCTAAATGGGGGAGCCAGTTTCAGATAAACAACAATTGTTTTGGGACAGGTCGACTCCACTGATTTCCCAATTGCCTTCATAGTTTCTGCTGGTATACTCAATGGTGAATCCAAACAGCCAGATTTGTGGTCATTCTGCCAGTCCATGTTTGTAGCTTTCTCCAAGGTCGATTCCTCTATGCCAGCAAGTCCTAGGAGCTGTAAGTGGCCCACAATTCTCAGAAATTGAATCCAGCTTACGGTTCAGCTCGCAAAGCTTACTGGTCTGAGAGCTCGATACACAGCGTAATCCTTCACATAAGGCAGACACCTTTACTATTGTCAAAACTGCTGCCGACATCTTCCTAATTTGTTGATATCCCAGGAACCTGCCGATTCCAAAAAAGTAAAAACCCTGTTATCATAAATCCAATTATGTATATGTCTTCATTGTCCTCAACATACAGCACAGACAGGCACATCATCTTTCAAACACACCAGGAAACAATGATATATCCAGCATCATGTGTCCCTTCAGGGCATGAGGATTCTCCTTCACCCTGTCTTCTCGTCAAGAAATTTTTATAAATTGCGTTGAGAGACCAACTGACCAGATCCATAATAATTTACGATTTGGAAGATGTGTAAAGAAAGGTTCTGCGAGATTCAAAGGACAAGAGCAAAAACAGGAGGGAGGCAGGAGAGGGAAAGAATGCGTCCGTCTTCATCAAGAGCAAGTCAGAAAAAAAAGATGGATCAGCTCTAGCAACCTTCTTAATCTGGGTTGACTCTGAATGTTAATGAGTTGTAAATTATCCACTATTTTCTGAATCTCATTAAAATCTGTTCAATGGTTCATGAGATGATTTGCCAACAGAGTGAGGATCGGTGTGATCCTTGTGTTTTCCAGCTCCTGTCACACCTGTCCTCTATCACACCCACCCCAGGTGTTTGTCATTGTCTCTTGTCACCCCAGGTGTTTGTCATTGTCTCTTGTCTGTGTTCTTCTATGTTCAACAATCTTCAGTCAAGTCATCTGGACAGTTTCTTTTTTTGCCGAAAAGTTTCACCTTCCATCCAGAAGGCTTCATCAGTCAAGGAAACACACAACACAAAACTGATTATTCCCCCAACAGCTTACTCCAAAGTGGAACAAACCAGTTATGTTGGTGCTAAGATGGTTTCTTTGGCCCCCTCCTCCGGTGTCGGCCCTCTCCCTTGTCGACGGTCATGTCAAACTGGTTCAAAACCAACATAGTCCATGCTCAATAATCCAGGTATACAATTCAACAATTTTCAGTACAAAAAGAAACTGTCCAGATGACCTGACTGAAAATTGTTGGATTGTATACCTGGATTATTTGACTATGGACTTTGTTGGTCCTTCTACATTCTGAGTCTCCTCGTTGTTCCTCTGTCCGTGGATTGTCCTGTCAAGGTGTTCATGTTCTGTCTCCCTCTGTGTCTCTCAGTTGATGAATGTACTGGTAAGTTTTGCTGCCATGTCAGCTTTTGGTTTCTTCTTATTATTTTTTTTTTATTCAACCTTTATTTATACAGGTTAATCCCATTGAGCCTCGGGAACTCATTTGCAAGAAAGACCTGAAATTCTTACCTTATCCCTTGAGTTCTCCACATTCTGTCTGCACATTGGGTTCAATCCACCACCAGATCATGATAAACAGACCAACAAGCACACATGAACACAAATAAAAGCATTTCTCACCCCTTCATCTTTGGCAACGGGAGGTAAGGAGGGATGACTGAAGTCTTGTGCCTGATAATGTAGTTACTGCATGAATCCTCTTATAACATTTAACATATAACAGCTTCTCTCACTTGGGTTGAAGTGGGCAGCCCATGCAAGTGTGTTATGAAAGTGTGCATGTAGAATAAAGTTTATTTTGTTGAAACAAAAAGACATATTCTTATACTCTATTCACATTTAACTTTATATAGTTGCAGATTTTTGGACTTTCCACAAAGACAACTGATAAAGTGTAATCAAATGGAAGTAACTCCACCATTTGTGTTCTGGGGAAACATTATCAGACACATTTTATAAAAACAAACTGCCGTAAATTATGTGCATGAGTGCCAGCATGCAGGTTCAGTTCAATGCAGACCTCCAACACAATAGAGGTTTATCTTTGCAAACAGTTACTCATTCTGAAGGGGGAGGCACAATACGTCCCCCTCCTCAGTGAGCAGTTTAAAGTTTCTCCTGCTGCTCTCTGATTGGTCCGTGAAGTTTTTCAGAGGGAGGATAACTTCAGAGCTCTGTGGTCTGTGGACTCACTGCAGCTCGGAGAGCCACAGAGGCTCTCTTATCACCAGGAGGAAACTGTCATGGAGACTGCAGGAAATAGAGCTGTGCTGTCATAGAGCAACTTTACAATAATAATTAAAAAAGAATCACCACTTTGGATCTTATATAATTTTATTTGCATCATCAGAGGTAGAAAATGTTTGGGTTTGGAGTTTGGATTAACACAACCTGGATTTTGTTTTTAACCTTTTTTTACACCACCATTGCAAATTATTCTGAAGACCAGTGCAGCTGGAGAGGAAGGCAAGTATTATTTCTCATCCCTGTGATATCTGAATATTTGTACAATGAAAGCCTAAACGTGTCTCGCAGAGATGCTACAGGTGTTTGAATGGAGCGGGTCTTGGAGTGATTGTTAGGATGCGGCATGTTGAGACTTGCCTGCAGTGTGTCATTCAAATGTTTGCATCGCTCTGCTGAGATTTGGCCCCTGGGCTGCCTGCAGGAGGCATCCAGGGGCCAGACAGACAGGAGACATGAGGATTAATACCCACAGTTGATGCAGTTGGTTTGGATTTCTCTGTCTGAGCTATCAGATTGTCATTGTTCATGCCTTATTAGATATTTCTATTTGAATCTTGGCCCTAATGATCACCAATTTGCTAGTAGGAAGCACGTTTTCTGTTACCCTATATGTCTGATTCTTCTTTTTTTGTATAACTCTTGGCAAAGATCTGTCGTCTTTAGAAAAGGAAAAAGATGTTCGTTCCTGAATTTGTTTCCTCACATCTTTCCTCACAGTGGCTTGTCTCAGCAGCAGGGCAGCGTGGAGCAGATCTCTCTCCACTGCTCTGAGGGCACTCTGGACTGGCTGTATCCCAAAGGGGCCCTGCGTCTCACCCTCTCGCCCCGCCTGGCCTCGGTAGCGGTGGGGCCCGCTGGCAGCAGCTCGGGCCTCATCACTGCCTGCGTCAAACCCTCTGATCAGTTCCACGGGGCTCAGCTGTACCTGGAGAAAGACGGGCTCCTGGAGCTCCTGGTTGGGGACAGAATCGAGTCGTCCCCACCTCCGAGGGTGCGCTGCTTCAGCTGGCTGCCCGGGGAGAGGCTGGCCCTGTTCCTGCAGGCGACACCCCATCAGGACATCAGCAGGAGGATTGCATCCTTTCGATATGAGCTGAGAGGAGACTGGACCGCTCGCATGTCTCTGGACTCCAACTCCATCAGCAGTGAAGGTGACTCATTTGTGCATTATGGTGAAAACTAGAACATTTGTCTCCACTTTGTGTCCTCCCTGCCAAAACATTTCACTCAGTCTGATGATATTTCATCCCATAAATCCTGTGACGATGATTTCTAATGCAGACCAGACTCCTGTGGTTGGACTTTCCACAGCTCATGCAGCGTGCAGAAGGGAGGAAGTGGCTCAACTTCCCCCAGTCGTTCTGATTTGAAGTAGTTGCTGTGGTATGGGGAGGAGGGGGGCACAAAGGCACAGTATGAGGGGCTTTCTCTACAGTCCAGAGGCCTTTGAATGAGTGCCACATGAGTATTCTGGGATTACTCCAGTCGCCTAGGCAACTCGGAGGCCTCTGCCCAGCTGAGATGCTCCCCTCCTTTTGTTGAGCTGCCTCTCTGTGGGGGGACTTGTCTGTAGGAGTGAACTCCCCCCGCTCACATCTTTCTCCCACACACTTATTAGGTTGAGAGGTGGGGGTGGGGGTGCAGTAGACTGTAGGAAGGAATCCCATTTATCAAGAAATTTTCACTTGAGGGGGAGGAGGATGCGGAGGGTGGGCAAAAAGCTTTCAAGCTAAAATAAATTCCAAGACCGATTTTTTTTTTTTTTAACCAGAGTTCATAAAGTGCAGGGCTTCTGTTTGAGTTATACTTGTTCTTTTGAGTTTTTTTTTATTTATTTTTTTAATTTTATCAAAAATGAGAGAAATAGCATTTTCTGAGAAAATGTCATGTGTGCTGTATGGACTTTACTGAAGTTTGCTGAAGAAGCTGAACCTGAGTTGGTCAAGCTAAAAAAAAAGTGAAGCGCAAGCTACAAGCTAAATGTAGCAAAAATAAATAAAAACAAAAAGTAGCAGAAAAGTTAGCTAGCAGAAAGTCAGTTAAAAGTAGCCAAATGCTAGTTAATGCAGCAAAACTTTATAACAAAAGGCTAACTATTAAGTAGCAATATGGCTTGCTAAAAGCTGAGCTAAAATTAGCAAAATGATAGCTAAATCAAATGGTTAGCTAAAAGTTAAAAGTAGTAAAAGGCTAACTAAAAGCTAAAATGATTAAAGGACTAGCTAAAAGTTAATTTTGCAAAAGAAAGGAAAAATAAACCAAGTAGATTTCAAAGAAAATGTTTTTGTAAGAATTAAAGAGGCATCAGTGGTTATCTATGCAGAAAATATTGTGAACATTATTGATTAATTTTATATATATATATAATTTGTAAATGTAAAAACAGTTTTCTCATTCAAATGATTTTGCCTCTGTCTGAAATCCTTCAAAGGTTTCTCTCTGGACTCAGTTTAGACTGATGAGGTGTGACATCCTGAAGGCTTCGGTAGAGAAGTTGTTTTTCTACTTTTAATTGTCTGGAGTAGAAGAATCTCACACCTTTGAGCTCCTCTGTTGCTCCTCTGCTAGTTGTAAAAGTAGCAGCTGTACGTTTATTAGTTGGTTCAGCCTTTATTGCTGGTTTTTGACTCGAAGGTTTGGACCACATCTCAAATGGCAGAGTCTGGAAATACAATCTTTGATTTCCAGTGGATTTACATATAGGTGATGTTTTTGCCAGTTGTTCAGAGTTATGTGTGAGGTTATTAACTCCTGCTCATTGTTCTCCTTCCAGATGCCTGCAGACCCTGCAATGATACAGAGATTCTGATGGCTGTTTGCACAAGTGACTTTGGTAAGTTACTAAATATCTCAGTTGTAAACGGATTACAGAAACACAAAGAGTAAAAATTAAGAAACCCAATCTCTAAATCTAGAGCCCCACAAAGCAATAAACTGTACATTGCTAACGGTTATGATCTGTAGATAAACATGCCAGTTTTCAGCTGGAGCCAACAGAGAAGTGGTTTGGTACCAGCGCTGACTTAATACTGAAACTGGATTGGTCATAAAGGGAAAAAAGCAGCAGATACATTTGCAGGCCTTTGAGCTGCTGTCAATCATTACAAGGATTAGCCAAACAAAATCACCTCTGAACTAAGGTTGAAAGAAAATAGCAAACCATTGGCAAAATAAGAAAAACGTTCTTTCTGTTCATAAAAAGACATTTTAGGACGTTATTGTAAATTAAACAATGGAGAATGAACCTGAAACTAACCTGAATATCCTGTTTCCCCCCCAGTGGTACGAGGTAACATCCGGTCGGTGGAGGAAGATGAGAGTTTACGGGCAGCGGTGATAAAGGTCAGCACCACCCGTGTGTTTCAGCAGAAATACGCCCTGTTCACCGGCAGCAGCCGCCTGGCCAGCCGAGGCGAGATACGGACTCTGCTTCAGTGTGGCGTCAAACCTGGTCCCGGGAGCTTCCTTTTTACCGGTCGGGTCCACTTCGGGGAGGCCTGGCTTGGCTGCGCTCCACGCTACAAGGACTTTCAGAGGACTTACACTCAGGCCAAAGCAGCCCGGCAGATACCTTGCGAACTACCTGTAGACTGAAAAGCACGGCAGCGGCTTGTCTACCAACGCAGGAAGAAAAAATGCTGAAGTTCAGCCCAGTTCAGGAAGAGGCCACGATGTGCAAATGACTGCCATTGTAGCCACCGAACCAGCAAGAGATCCTCCCAAAGGACTGAGGATCGAAATGGACACCCATTTCAGTGCAATATGCAGTCACATGGTCTGAAAGACGTGGTGGAGTCATGACGTGTTGGTTGAAAGAAATTGACATTGGACCGTTTTACTAATGATGCCACAACCACTGAGCATGACTTTATTGAAAACTTTCTATTTGGCAAGTCAGTCAGGTTGTTCATTCAGGTCCGCTGAGAATAATTGGTTTGAAACTCAGGAAGACAATGAAATGTGCCTGCTGTGGTTCTGGAGGATAGTCTTTAGGGCATGTGTTGCTGTCTATGATTTCCAAACAAAGAATTCGCTTTTCCTCCACAGCATTTTTTCCCTCTGATCATGTGTAACTCGACGAGACGGCGACGTTCAGCTGACCTGCTGGGGTTGTCTTCAGTGTTTCTCTCATCACAAAGTCCTCCCTGAAGGAAACGTTCAAATGTTTGCACTCATAGAGGAAATGGAAATGGTCTGGAAAGTGAAATGCTGCAAGCACTGAAAACCAAATAAGAAGCAAATCTATGTAGCGTAGTGGAACGATTCAGAATTTAATATATGTACAGATAATTTGAGCTAAGGTTACCAGAGCAGCTTGATGAGGTGCTGAAAGCACTTTTGGATTCTGTGGCCAGTCTGAGATTTTTTTTTCTTCAGTAAAGAGACCGGCACGTTTCCTTTACGTAACATGCTTTTTTTTCTGCAAAACTTAGAAAATGTGTTGGAGATCAGTTAAGTTTGACCAAAGCAGAAGAAATTCAACTGTACACAACCAACATTCATTCAGAAAACACAAGACAACGTAGGACAAGCCTTGCGTACATAAAAACAGGTGATTTTTTATTTTTGGTAATATACAAATGACGATCTAGATTAAAAAACATGCTTTGACAAGAAAATTCACTCATCCATTGACGATGGCTAGCTCAAGACAAAACAAAGTATGCATTTTAATGATGATGATGCAGATTCTGAGTGCACTGGATCATCAAGGAGAATGGTTTTGTACCAAATGACCATAATGCTGAAGTGGAGTGCCTAAAATGTACAAACCACTGTTTTGTTTCTATCTGATGTGAATTTATTTGAATGCAACTGTAAATATGTTAATAAGAAATATATAAAGAAACAAAAAAAAAATCTGTTTTGTGAATACGTTTTTTTATGTTGTGTTATTAAATATTCTGTTAAGAAAAAAACACTGTGTTTGTGTTTAAATTTCACTTTAAACCTCAGCGAAGTTGTTTTCTGATCTAATCTCATCGAATGCATCAGAGTTGTTGGGGGTACAGGAGTTTTAAAGCTTTCTTCTATGTTTAAACCTTTCTCAGACATAAGTCACTTCAAGTACTCATGAATCAGGTTCCTGAAAGCCCAGGACAAACGGCGTGCCAAGGCAGAGGGAGAAGCTTGAAAGCCAGGAGAGATTTAGAGACTGTTCAGCACTCGGACAGGGTGGGGGATGTTGCAGGGGGGTGAGAGTTTGGACAGGGAAGTAGGTTGAAAACAGCAGTTGGAATTCCCTTGTCCTCAGCCTCCCATTTTCTGGATTCAGGAAGCAATAAATTGCCATTAAGGGGGCGGCGTGTCAGACTGGACTGGGCCGAGGTGCCACACAGTCGCTCGCTTCATCCTGACCACGTGTTGCACAAGTGCACAATCAAAAGCTATGTCCTTTTCCACTCAACTTGGACCATGAATTTGCATTGCCTAAACATAAAGGGTATCCGTCACCTGGTTCTGCATGGCATATAACTGAAACACCTGTTTCTTCTTCTTCTTGCATTAAAGGTGCTGCACACACATCTGTAAAATGTGTGCAGTAAATCTGTTTAGCAGTGAAGCAGCCGGGAGTGTTAACATGGGGTTTAGAAAACGAGCCACAAAAGCTTGAGAGCTGATTCACCGCTGCATCAAGAGCTCATGCGAGTGGAACTCCCCAACCATTTATTGCTCCAGTGCCCCCTTAAACATCCTGTGGTTGGGTGGAGGGACAGAGGTGCCCAAAGCACCCCCTCCCTTCCAGTCCTTCTGAAGTTACTGCTGCAGTCTGATAAGCCAAAACAAAGAGCTCACTAACTGTGGTCCTTCTCCTAATACATCATGTGACATTTTGACAAAGCTAAACTTCCTGCATTGTTGTCACTTCTTTCTGACCCCAGCTTGAACCCCCCCAAAAAGGAGAATTTATGTCAGTGTAGCAACAATTGCACAACATTGCAGCTAAGCTTGGTTCATCTTGTCCTTGTGTTTCTCTGTCCTGTTAATTAAACAAGAGGCAAGTCATGGATGTGTCAAAGCAAAAATTAAAAATCTGAAAGTCTCAGGGTAGAGCTGTTGGTTGCAGGAAAACATTGCTGGTACTCTCTGAGGGAGGTGGTCAGTGACAGCTCTAGAGATTAGAGCCCAGACAGGAAAGGTAAGGCAAAAATGCCACCCAATGCTAGAACCATATAACGGCTGACACATGGATGCATGCATTTGCAAAACACCAATCAGTCTGATAAGCCAGTTAATGTTAAAGTATTTATATATCAAGTTGTACTAATAAATGTCTACATTCAAGGATTTTGTGATGTTAAATCTGTGTCCTTTAATTTTCTATGGTAACTTTTGGTGCTTCCAATTAACCAGGGTGGTACTGTTTAAATACATATCTTTTTCTTTTTTTTTTACAGAGTCCCGGACAAGCTGACAATGTCTTGACATAACAGCAACAAGTGTATTTTTCTTCTCTTATTTTAAGAATGCATCCTTAAAATTTGAGGAACAGTGAAAGTCTTCATCACAAAGTAAAAATGAACATCACAGTTTTCTTTCTGGCCATAACTTTTGCAAATGAAATAAAATAAAATAAAAAAACACCTTGGGCAATTTAAAATGATCAACTCATGTTAACATTCATGTTTTTGGTCTGTGGGAGGAAGCCGGAGTACCCGGACAAAACCCACACATGCACGGAAAGAACATGCAAACTCCTCCCAGCTCTACCAACTGTGCCACAGTACTGCCCGCTAACATGAACATTAAAGACTAGTTTTGTGTTTAGATAAAATGGCTTGTTCTTTACATACATACATACATATATACATACATACATACATACATACATATATATATATATATATATATATATATATATATATATATATATATATTAGTGTTAGAACAGAAATATTAAATTTAAATAAGGACAAGTGAAAATCAAATAATTAGTCTTTCAATTCAGAGTCACTTCACTTCAGCGGTGAACAAGAAGTGTAGGATCAATGCTTTGATTTAAAAAGGGAGCTTTGGTAGAAAGGACTGTGTCATCAGCATATAGACATGTTTTGGCTGGCAACTCACTTACAAAATAAAACAGGAGCTATTATAAATCCTTGAGGAACATCTGCAGTTATTGTAAGAAGAAGTGATGAATAGTTGTCTAAACACTGAGTTCTGTCAGATAAATAATTTCTGAACTGGTTCAGAACCATTTCACTAAATCCTATAGCACTGGTCAGGGTTATTAAAATTAGCTCCACAAGCAATATGTGACGTCAGAAAATACCAGAATGTCTGGCAAACAGAACTTTAAATAGAGTGCAATGCAGTGCTGTAGTCATGGTTAATGCCCATAAAAATAAAATCTGCAGTAAATGTATATGTAAGAAGCATTGTTGCTACGAAAATTGCAATAGTGACAGCCAATATGCTGACAAGCCTCATGTGCAAGGTTTATGGTTCATGGCATGTCCAAAGCCAGTTACTCAGAAAGAGAAATGTGCTAGTTGGATTCAACTCTGTGGCCGAGTTGTCTTCAAACCGACAAATGTTAGATCACTTACAAAGAATACATACATATGTTAGTAGTAACACTTTGTTTCAGGGAAGACTGACAGAGGAGCACCCTGATCCAGCGATTGCAGTCCCTAAACAGGTAAGTCCATCTATCCATTATGTTTTACCTGATTTTTCCTTTCATGTCAGAAACTTAAAGGAGCACTGAATGTCTTTTTCAACCACAGAAAAGGTTAAATCATGTCATCTGGACAGTTTCTTTTTTGGGAGAAATGTTTCGTCTTTCATCCAAAAGACTTCATCAGTCTGAAGACTGCCACCAAGCTCTGTCTTATAAATAGCGCCTCATTGATGTGTTTCAAGTCAGCCTGCTGTGGAATTCCCAGAAACTGACTTTAACACATGCAAAAAGGGGGACCATCCATCCAAAACAATCAATCATCAGTGTAAAACAATCAAATGTTTTCGGCATGATAGCCAACTTGCTACTCAAATACAGCCTGAGGAACCAGGCCAAAATGGTTCAGACAAAAGGTTAGTAAGCTCAATTATACAGGTAAATAAATGGCAAAAAAAAACCACGCCTGTGCTAATTAGTCTCTTTAGGCACTTAATTCAGCTCCCTTTTAGAAGATTTTCACTTTAGAAAAAAAAGAGTAAAAGAACCAATTGCTAATGGCTAACAGCTAACACTGGTTAACAAAGTAAAAGAAAAGAAACGGCAGGCAAAATCATTCTTCATCCTGCCGCCAAAAACCTATGCAATAAATGGTGAATCACTGGCGTGCATCCCACACAAAGTCTTCTGTCATCTGTGTTCTTTTTCACCGAGGCAAAAGAGCATGAAACAGCATGGACTCACTGGGGACACCATGTACCTTTATCAATTCGGCTTGGCTGCCAGACACTGCTAGTTCCCTGCGTTGTAGCCAATGCTTGAGCTGTGTATTGTTGTATCCTTCAATATATTCCAAGTTCATTTTGGTCCCAGGGACGTTGTCTTTGTTTAAGTTTACATGGACAAAAGCATTATGCATGCGGTCTGCTGCATTGTTTGCCCGACGTCCGGGACTTTGAGGATTCCTCACAATTCCGGTGATGTCATCCCTGGCCAACACTATTAAGGGTGCATTCACACCAGCCCTGTTTAGTCAGTTTTATTTGAACTCTAGTCCATTTGCCTAGAAAGTCCGGTTCGTTTGGGGAGGTGTGAATGTGCAATTGAACTCTGATGCAGACC